CACAGGAGGCTGGCCCTTAGAAATGCCATATTGTTTTCCAAACCCAAGTTCATCTGCCCATTGCTCAGTGTGCCGGTAATGGAGACATAGACTTTGCAAGGGAGGAAAACGTGCTAATCCTCCAAGTACTTAGCGAGGAGACAAGAGTGAAATTCAAATTTGTCTTCCCGATTGGAGAGAGTCTGGGGTTCTTCAGAGCTGGAAAAGGACAGGCCCAATGCAATAATGGGATAATCTACAACAGGATCTAGAAACAAGGAACAAAGAGATCAGACAAGGGTGGCATTTGACACCTTAGAATATCTTCATTCACCACATCAGGGAGTCTGAGGATTCTTCCTTTGTTATTGTGGTCTGCTCTTTCTGGTCCCATTTGTCACTGTATTCTGCTCCTGAAGAACAGCTAAATTATATCTCTGACTGTGATTAAGGGTGAGCAATTTCTGCTACTAATATTTCCTTTAAAGGTTGGATGAAGAAGCAAATAGAAAACAGATTACTGACCCCAGAGCGTGTTTGCCTACATTGAACAAGTCCCCTCTGCCCCTCAGGCACAACTGCACAGCCTGCATTTTCTCATGTTTTGTCCTCTCTTCCCACACACATATGTGTGAGCATGTGGTTGCAGTTGTAAGGTGCAGCTGATTTATGCTCTTAAAGTAACAGAAACTCTATTTTTGTACGAAGCCACCACTTTTATTGCCACATTACCTGGTGTACATTTAGGTATTTTCTGAATTCTCACTGCAGCCAGCATTCAGAAGTTTATGTTTTCTGTTGTTCCCTCGAGGTAAATATTCTGGCTACTGATGAGAGGGCACAGATGTACTGCCAAGCTGCTTTCAAGGACTGTTTTGATGTGCAATGCGATAAGCTGTTCTGGTGACGCTGGTAGATTCTCCACAGACTGGCTATGAATCGCCCTTTGATCTTCTATGACAGTATCAACTCCTGTGTACTTTCGATTCTGTTTCGTTGTTCGTTTTCCTTTTCCCATTGCATTGTAAAAGAAAGATCTGAAAAAGAGAACAATGAAATAATTGTCAATTGCCAATATTTTTTGTTCTTGTTTGTTTACACAACTGGTTATTTTGGGGTCCTGCAGGCAGTGTCAGTACAGTTGGATCACTGTCACCTGCATTGGCCAGACAAAGGTTCTATGCCTATCCCTGGAGCTGGTGGTGGCCTTCATGTGGCCTGAGCCTGGAGTGGGTGTTTCTGCTCAAGGTCAGAAGCAGGTCAGCCAGGCAAGTGAGTGAATGTCCACCTCAGCCTCTGAAGAATTCCCATGCCCCCCTTTCTGGTCTAGATGGAGAAAGGGAGACCTGGAGCAGTCCAGTACTGGGACCTATGTCACACAGCATGTCAGAGGCAAGGCTGAGACCAAACTAGACTGGAGCCTTCCAAAGCTGTGTGGCACAGGACACACCACCTTGCAGAGCCTCTCTTTCCTGAAGGTATTTGGGATAACTACCTTATAGTGCTGTTAGGATGAAAGCAGATGAGCCTAACAAAGCCTCCAGACAGTGCTGGGCACACAGTGGAAGTTATTGGTTTAAGGTGCATGCCCATAACTGATGGGGATGGATAAGGGTTCAGGATGGTGAAGTCATGTCTAGGGTCATTCACAGCTGGGTCCAGAGGCTGTAGGCAGGAGCTTCATGTGTTCAATTTTCTTTCATTGCTGGGTCTCATGAGGTTCTGTGTGTGAGAGCCTAGCTACGGTTGCTGGAGCGTGAGGAGGAGGCTCAGAATGAGGCTGAAAGCCAGACCCAAGGAAGCAGGTTGGGACCTCAGGCAGTTCAGGATGAGGTCTGTGGGTCTGGGCATGAATCCTGGTGCTCTGAGCACTGGTAGGGCCCTGGGTTGGCTGCCACATTTCTCTTAGCTTCAGTTTCCTCTTCTGGGTAGGGTTAGTCAAGGGACTTCTGAGTCTGTTCACAATAAGCAAAGGAGGGTGGGACAAGGCTTGGGCAGTGGCCCTGGGGGGTGTGGCAGTCACTTGATCCTGGATGCTGATGACCTGCTTGCACGTTCATCCCAGCCAAGGCAGAAGTTAGGAGGATGGATGCATCTACCCATCAATAGCTTAAATTTTTTTTAAACATTCATTTTCCATATAGTTTCTAAAAACCACTTAGATTTTAATAGAGAAAATATTGAATATCATTGTTATATTTGCTTTCTCCTTTTAGCACAAGCTTTAAAGTGACTTGTGGTGCCATATTCTGATTTGGGTCAGCCTTTTCTTATATAGCAATTGAAAATATTTTTTTTGGTAGATATTCTATGTGCTTGATAGAGAGAGAGAGGAGGACAAACCATCTGCATTAGGAATGGACAGATTGCAATCCCCTGTCTTTCATTTCTTCTTCCTTTTGGGATTGTGTGTGCATAGGCCTACACACTCCCAGCACATTTCTTAAGCTGCCAGGTCTGGGACTCAAACCACACATTTTGCCATACAGGACCCAGCCACCTCAACCATCATGCCACATTCCAGTCCTATTGTATTTTGATATTTCAATTTCTGGAGGCCTATCACACCCTTATTCCAAGAAGAGGTTGCTGAAGGAAGAAGAATTTAAGCTTTTTTTTTTTCTTTTTTTTAGCCAGAATGTATCTGCTAAGTCTGTGTTGACTTAGAGACTCCACAACTGAGCTTAGCTATCTCCAAATTTATCTGGGTTTCATAAAGGAGAATTCTTTCGTGAGAAAAATAAATTATTTGTAACTATACTATAGAGTTCTTTTATACATGTTGTACAGTGTATAAGAAATTAATAGACATGGAAAATAGCAAGATTATATGCAGATAACCATAACAGTAAACAGATAACAGAACTAGATATAAAGATGATCCAGATTTTTGATCTGGCAGGTGAAAGTTTCAAAATGACCATAACTTATTTGTTCAAGAAAATGATGTTTAAGAAACCCAACTAGTTTAAAAGCAAAATAATGAACAGAAAAGTAAAATTAAGAGGGCCAGATGGTAATGCAGCAGTAAAACATTATGCTCTGACTGGTAGGTATACATGAGAATGTTACCATTTCATGTCTGAAGACTTCCCTGAATATGCAGGGCAAGTATGGTATTATGATCTTAGATGGCTAAAGCTGAGGGGGTAGATAGTGCTATTAAGACACTATTAGAGTCCTTTTGGCAGGTACCGCCCATCTTCCAATAATTAACCAAAATGATGAACACAAAGGGAAAGAGGAGAGGCACAATATATGTTCTCTAGGCCTTTTAGAAAACATGGAGTTGTTCCTTTGGCAACGTATATGCAAATCTACAAGAAAGGTGATATTGTAGACAACAAGGGAATGGGTACTGTTCAAAAAGGAATGCCCCACAAATGTTACCATGGCAAAACTGGAAGAGTCTACAATGTTACCCAGCATGCTCTTGGCATTGTTGTGAACAAACAAGTTAAGGGCAAGATTCTTGCCAAGGGAATCAATGTGCGTATTGAGCATATTAAACATTCTAAGAGCAGAAATAGCTTCCAAACGTGTGTGTAGAAAAATAACCAGAAAAAGAAAGAAGCCAAAGAGAGAGGAGTGCCAGCCTGCTCCACCCAGAGAAGCACACTTTGTGAGAACCAATGGAAAGGAGCCTGAGCTACTGGAACCGATTCCCTATGAATTCATGACTTGATGGGTGTTCAAAATAAACTAATCTGTGGTCTATTAAAAAAAAAGACACTATTAGGGTCTTGTTTTCTCTCTCCTTGCCTCACTATTGCTCTCACTTACAGAATAAATAAAGGAAAAAATACAGTTAGTAGAATTGATGGACATTCTAAAAGTAGAATAATGCAACTAAAGAAACTAATAAAGGGATTTTAATAATCCATTGCTATTGAATACAGCAGAAGATAATATTGGTGGTTTGGAAAATCCATATTAAGATGAAAAAAAAGGGGATGACATAGACGAGACTACGAGTTAAATGAAATATACTAAAAATTTCAATGAAGATATAATAAGCATCCTATAGGAGAGGAGGAAAAGAAACTATCTTCAATGAGATAATATTACATTCTTCTGAAAGAGATAAATGATACCAACTCACAAATTTCTATGCTACAGCAAATCATAATCAGACCACCTGTCTTACACTTTGAAATTAATTGTAATCACTCCAAGAGAGTACAATGCTTTCATTTATTGTTTATAGAAGGGCGAACAACTTGGTCTTTAATTAAAAAGTTACATTTTATTAAAATTTACATAACTAAATTTGTACTAAAATGATCATTCCATTATTATAATATTTGGGTCCAGAGTAGAAAGTCAGAAAAGTTTCATAAGCAAAGATTCTGTAATAGTCTCTGTTCAGGGGTATACTTATGTTATTGCTTTGGATGTCAATCATTACACATAATTCAACCTTGGTGATAACATCAATTTTCTTATAAAACTTTCTATTAAAAATTTTATATTTATACAAAATATATAGTGATTTAATGTTTAAAAAAGTGAGAATAAATAATAAGAATAATCGGAAAGAAACGATGCAAAGCTATTTGATGATGATGATGTGGATAGTAATGTCTTTGTCTTGACTGATACGCATGGTAATCAAGCCAGAAATATAAATATAATGCACTGTAAAGATATATGTGATTCAATGTAATATAAAGATTATGATAATAATAATAAAATTGAAAAAAGAACAAAAGAGATCCTCACAGGACATACAAAAAAAAGTTGCACTATTTTCACCAGCTATACAATTACACACACACACACACACACACACACACACACACACACTCTCCCCCAACCCTCCAGGTGCAATACTCCAGGTGGATTCACTTTGGTGTGATGAATTTATGGCTTGGATCCTCACTGCCACTCGTACCTAGGGCTTCTTAACATTCAGCAATTCTCAGGAAACAGAGGCAAAGCTGCACCAGGGCACAGCTTAGATGAGCCTGATTCCCCAACATGCTTGCCAAAGTCAGCTTACAATCCAGTTTCACTAATCAGAAGTGAGCATGTCTGTTCCAAGCTCCATTCTTTCTCCAGCTGAAGCCAGTGGCAGATCCCAGCAGCAAACACCCAGAGAGTCCCCCTAACTAAACAGGTTCTGGCAGCCCCAGGGAGTTTCCAGTGGTAATTTCTGTCACTTGATCCTGCTCACCATGCCGGTACCAGCCAGGTAAGTCTAGCAGCTGTTCATGGTCAACACAATGAGAGGCAGATGTTGGAGAAGAGAGTTTATTTCGGTAACCAGTTACAGGGAGACAGTCAATCATCTCCACTGTCTTTCCTCTATAACTTTTCCAGGCTTCATAGCTCATTTCTAACCAGCTCATTTTTATTTCTTAAAATATGTAGTATCATTTCATATTCCAATATTGTTCCATTTTCTCCCCTATTTTGTGTTGTAAGTCACACGTATTACATTTCATATGTTACAATTAAAACAAACATCCAATTGTATCTCTATTGCATTATGCTGTTGTTTCTTCAATCTATGAAGAGATAATAAGGTAAAATATATTTGTACTGGGTTTTGTAATTAGCTGCATATTACCTATACCAGTGTTCATTTGTGTGTGTTTGTGTGTGTATGCAGACTTAAGTTTTCCCTAAGGTGGCTCTTTTACCTGAAGATCTTCACTAATCATTTCCTGTAATACTGTTCTCACTTTAGTTAATACATTATAGCTACTCTGTATTCAGAATCCCTTATAGAGGTAGTTATTGTTTCTGATCTTTTGCTTGATTTTGAGTTTCTTTATTTGCTGTAGTGAGTTATCAGGACTAAATCTGCAAATTCTACTTTCCTGGTAGTATACTGCCTCTGATATTTCTTTTTTAGAATTTTCTGCTTTATATTTAGTCTGGGTCAGTGTAGTTTAGTGATCAGTCAGTAATAGGACAGATGTTTTTACTTAATCACGTTATGTTAGTAGGTGTTCTAAATTTTTCACCTTTTATTATTAGGCAAAATATATAAAAAGTCCATAGCAGTAAGTTTCTGTTTACTTCTTACTCTTCAGTTTGTGATTCACAACTACTATTTCTAAACATTTACATATTTTGTCTTCAGAAAATGAGTATTTTTGGGAACCAGCAGTTAGCATAATGGCTATGTCGCTGGACTCCCACGTAGTCAACCACGGTTCGCGTACCGTACCCGGTGGCTTAAAATTCACGCCGGGCGCGTGTGCATGTGTGCCCAAGATCCCGAGAGGACAATGGAGGAGAAGGGATTGCAGCATGACCATCCCCTCTGGGGAGGTGATTTCTCGCTTTCTGTCTCTGTGTTTCTCTCTGTCTGTCTGGCGAGCGCACACGCCCTATAGCGAAAAAAATCTCTCCAAAAAAAAAAAAAAAAAGAAAGAAAATGTGTATTTTTTAGATGTAAAAATCACAGTAGCTTTTTCATGCACTGCAAGTGGAAGTACTCCACTGCACTACAGCTAAGGCTGTATGGGAGACCTCAGATCAGTATCTGGCCCAATCTAAAGTGACATGCCTGTGGTTTTAGCAAACTGGGAGGCTGGGGCAGAGAGGCTGGGGCAGAAGGATTGCAATGTGACAAAATTTTGTCAAAAATAGCTATTTCTCTTTCCTGCATTTGCACTCTCTCTTTCTCTCATTAAAAATAATGTCTTCATGAGAAAAAAATCAGTACAACTAATTAAAAGGTAAATTTTCAGTCAATGTAAACCTTATTTCTTAGCATTAAAGATTTTTTCCAATGAAGAGCACTGAAACCTTCCCTTGAGTCAAATTTTTAGTAAAAGCTGTCAATAGATAAGATGAAACCACACATTTAGGAGCTGCTAAGAAACTATGCTGACGTTGCCAGTTGCAGTGTTCACAGTATAGTGGTGAGGGGGTAAGTGTCAAGTGTAAAGTCTAAAGGTACGAAAGAATTATGACATATCTTAGATGGGAGGAAATATGAATTATTTAAGAAGTACTAACAATACAGGAAAACCAATGGTTTAAGGGAAAACCTAAGATAATAAACGTGGAGTTTAAGTAGATTCTAGATTATTCAACTTTTTTTTTTGAGAGAGAGACTTTTGGAGAGACAGACAGACAGAAAGTGAGAAATCAACATCCAGGAGGGATGGCCATTCTGCAGTCCCTTAACCTCCATTCTCCTCTCAGGATTTTTGGGCATGCCTGCATACATGCCTGGCATGAGTTTCAAGCTGCCGAGTCACGGACTCAAACCACAATCAACCATGTGGGAGTCTAGCACCTTAACCATTTTGCCACCTGCTGACCCCAGATGATTTGATATTTTATAGCAATTGCAAACTGAATACATAGAAGATGGAACCCGTATTAGGTTGACAACAAAAGAAAAAGAAACAGAAGAACCAAGTTTCCTCTATAACTTTTCCCAGAATCCATCTCTGTCTCTAGGCTGTAGCTATATGAGAAGGTTACATCTGCCTGTCTGAGTAGCAGATAAATAGTGATTAGTAGTTAGATGAGTTTGTGTATATATTGTCAGATAAGGCATCTTCTTCTTAGTTTATTCTCAGATCTGGTTTTTGAGAACCAATAAGAAAATTTAAAGGCTCCAATAGCATTATTGAAGTATAAGCAACTCAGTCCATTTACATACATAGTGATCAATGGACACAGGAGGACCCTACGTGGTCAGATATTTTCCCAATCAAACAAATCCTGCCTGTCTGAAGTTGTTCCAAAGTTCAAAGCAGGGTCTTTGGACTTGATCCAGCAGTCTTGAATAGTTTTGAGCTGATTGACTATTCTTAATGGTAAATAGATCAGGCCTTTTCACCAGTCTATTGTGAGATCTACATGTCAACATTAACTTAAACTCTGTTCCTGGTTGAATTATTGATTCTAAGGACATTGGGAATTAGTCAGTCATTACATTTCTGTCTGAAATGTTCAGTCTCCATTGGTCTGTTTCTCCATTAGCAACAACACAATTCTTCTCACTTGCATTTAAACCATGTGTTAACTTTCATTGTTAGTTGACTCCAATATTTAATATCTGTGACAATGTCTCTATTGCACTACAAGTTATATGTACTTTTAGGTGTTGAGTGATTTTTTTCTAAAGAGTAGGCTAAACATGTGTGAGATAATTCTTTTTTATCTTTCGGAACCAAAATTAGTGTTACTATTTTGATTTGATTTTCAATACACCTAACCATGATTAGTTCCAACATATCTATATAGGAATTTTAGAGTGCATTGTATTAAACCAAAGATGTAATTTATCATGACAGTAATATATATATCATATTGTAATATAAACAATATAAAGCACCAGAAATTATATATTACATATGGCAGTAGGACTAAATATTAGGTCTAGATTGTTTTTTTATTTTACTACCCTTCATAATTAAAACATTACACTGAATATTTCTCCAACTTTTGAGTATATCTTTATCTTCCTAGTAAAAATAGCCTTTTTGTGGACTTTTTATCTGTTTATTTTGGTTCTTTATTCCCTACAAACACAGTAACATATTAAAAGAAAGGGAATTGTTCTTTTTATTAAAAAATTCCACACAACTCTACACAAAAATACACCAGTCCTAATGTCTTCATAAAAACTCTCTCTGATGAGATGCTTACTGACCTTGAGCTGTGAAAAATTACTTTCAGGAATAAGACTGACTACTAAAGATTTCTGCTGAAATTTCACCCTACAGATCCCAAACTAGAAAGTGGAGAGGCAGAAACTCAGATCTACTGACATGCTTACTGAACTTGGGGTGTGAAAAATTACTTTCAGGGGGACCAGCAGTTAGCGTAATGGCTATGTCGCTGGACTCCCACGTAGTCGACCGCGGTTCGAGTCCCGGACCCGGTGGCTTAAACTCACACCGGGCGCGTGTGCGTGCGTGCCCAAGATCCCAAGAGGAGAATGGAGGAGAAGGGATTGCGGCGTGGCCATCCCCCCTGGGGGGTGATTTCCTGCTTTCTATCTCTCTGTCTCTCACTGTCTGTCTGGCGAGTGCACGCGCCCTATAGCAAAAACCTCTCAAAAAAAAAAAAATTACTTTCAGGAATAAGACTGGCTACTGAAGATTTTCTGCTGAAACTCGAGATTCCAATATAGAAAGTTGGTAGGGCATCTGTATCCTTCTCTCTGTCTCTGTCTGTCTTTAATTTTTTTAATTTTTCTTTTTTTTTTATTTATTTTTAAAAAATTTAAAGGTATTCTCCTGACTCTCAGTCCTTCCTTTATGTTGCTAATTCTTGTTTTTTTTCCCCCTCCCATTTAGGAGAGGCAGAAATTCAGATCTTCTGAAATGCTTACTGAACTTGAGCTGTGAAAAATTGTGCCACATGGTTTTCATTTTTTGGTTTTTGCTTTCTAAAAAGAAAAAACAAAATTTTTATTGCCTTTTCTATTTTCATTTTTTCCCTCTTTCTCTGTTTTCTTTTAACTTCATCATTTTGCTCTCAGTCTCCCCACACTGAGTGTCTAGACAGGTTTAAGTGAATCAGAGCCAAACACCTGATTACTATTAGGGTCAGAATATTCTTCAATTCCCACTGAATCTGATACAAAAAGGAGGAAAAATGGAATGGTAGAGAGATTGCAGATCACCTTCTCCTGCACATTTCTGAATACTTAGACTGAACTTCAAGAAATTAGGAAGAAATGTATAACCCATCAGGTAATCAGAAATCATAGCAGGGACACAAGAAGTATGATAAACCATGAAAATATCTCTCCTCCAAGGAAAAAGAATAACTCCTCTTCATCCACAGACAGTAAAATGAAACTCATGAGAATGTCTGACAAAGAATTTAAAATATTCATAGTGAGAAAGTTAACGAAGATGCAAGCAAAGGAAGACAATGAAATCCAGAAGAGACAGGAGAGAAGAGCTAACAAGTTTCAGGAGGTGAGGAAGTTCTTGCACGATCTGAAAGAGGAAATATACATCGAAAAAAAGAATCAAATGGAACTGTTAGAGATGAAGGCTGTAACACAGGAAATCGAAACCTCCCTTGAAAGTATTAAAAGCAGACTAGATCACATAGAAGATCGAATCTCAAATGCAGAAGACAGAATCATTGGCCTAGAAAAATCCACCATGAACACTGAGAAAATAGCCTAAAAAACTTAGAGTAATATATGAGAAATTAAATGTACAAACATACAGATAATCGATATCCCAGAAGGTGAAGAGA